GAGCATTCTAGCTCAAAAATTGGATTTTAAAAAAATCAAAAACCAAAGGTTCCCAAAATGACGATTTTTAAAAATATTTTTTTAATGTTTCCTAAGGGGTAACTCATCAAAGTAGAGCCCTTTGGGCGAAAATTTCGTCCGTTTCGCTCTATCTTGAACCATTTAGGCGCCACAGGATGTTTTTGACGAAAATAAGCGTAAAAATGTACAACCCTGCATGCTAAGTCGAAGTGACGGGAAGTTAACGGGCCGGAGGCCCGTATCTTTGTGTACAGTTTTGCGCTATCTGACTCGGGTGTCAGCGCCGCAGGCCTAGGTAGATGTATGCCAGGCGCGTCGCAGCGCAACAGTGTTTCGTGAGATATCGCGAAGCCTGTTACGCGAGACGTGGTCTGGCGTACATCTACCTAGTACTCCAGTGATGATCAAAAAGTTTCGCGTCTGTCTGTCTGTTTGTGTGTGTGTTTGTCTGTCATCACGATAACTAGAAAACGAATTGAGCAAGCGACCTGGGATTTTCAGGGTCGTTTGGTGTTATAAAAAGACAGATCAAGTTCGAAGAAGAGCATTCTAGCTCAAAAATTGGATTTAAAAAAAATCAAAAACCACAGGTCCCACAAATAATGTTTTTAAACATATTTTTTTTACAGTTTCCTAAGGGGTACCTCATCAAAGAAGAGCCCTTTGGGCGAAAATTTCGTCCGTTTGGCTCTCTCCTTAACGATTTAAGCGTCACAGGGAGTTTTTGACGAAAATCAGTGAAACAATGTACAACCCTGCATTCTTAGTCGAAGTGACGGGAAGTTGACGGGCCGAAGGCCCGTATCTTTGTGTACATTTTTGCGCTTCCCGACTCGGATGTCAGCGCCGCAGGCCTAAGTAGATGTATGCCAGGCGCGTCGCAGCGTAACAGTGTTTCGTGAGATATCGCGAAGCCTGTTACACGAGACGTGGTCTGGCGTACATCTACCTAGTTTAGTGATTTACCTGATGGTTAAAGTGATTATGTTATGATAACATTAAAAACCACTATTTGCTTTGGATTTCAGTTCATCTCATTTATTTTATGGTGTCTCTACTTGTTGAGACCACTATTTGCTTTGGATTTCAATTTATCTCAGTTCCATCTCAGCTATACTCAGTTATACTTGTTGAGATAGGTTCACACCTCTGGATATATGATTGTCAAACTTTTCCGAGACTGGATAGCGCTCAATTTCTTATAATGGCTTAGTGATATTTCATTCGCATGAGCTTAATTTTATTATGCCAAAAGTAGTGCATGGACTTGGAGATGATAAAGAAAAACCATTTGCATTGGGTTTCAACTTGTTTATTCTTGCTTTTTAGGTACATAGTCTGTTTGCCTCGACCACTCTATGTGGTCAAAGATTTTTCGGTTCTAATTGCGGATCAAGTTTGGATTTTCGAAACAACAACTCAGAAGTACTATTCATATTGATATTCAAAAGGAACGTGATTGGTTTTGGTCAAAACACAATCACTTTTAATTTTTATTTGTTTTAAAGCTTTTATTTGTTTTTATTTGATTTTCACATTGATTTTATTTGATTTGCACATTGTTTTTACTGTTTAACCATAGAGATGAGTGTCTCTTTGAGATAATCCGTTTGGTAACACATCATTTCTTGTTTGAGAGACTCTGGGAATAAAATAGATGTTACGTCAAATGCTTTTGAAAGCAAATCAAACCATTCTTCTTTATTGAGGTCTGGTATTTTAGCAAAGTTTCCGCCCCCACTGTCAAAAACAGTTGTAAATTTACGACATTTTTTGGTACGACAAGATTGTTAAATTACAATTCAAGTTGTTTTTTTTAAAAAACGATGAATATGTTGTTGAAATCTAAACGATTGGGATGTTGTATTATTACAATACGCTTGCCTTTTAACAATAGATTATTTTGAAGTAAAAACGACTATACGCTTGTTAAAATACGAGTCATTCGTAAATTGATGACAAAGTAGTTGTAAGTTACTACTACTACAGTCAAAAGAAACAGGTAAAATTAATTGACTGGCGTTTCTTGACAACTCTATTTTTTCCCGTTTCAAAACAAATTACCCAAGGTGAGAAACAGGGTAAATATGATCATACATGACCATAACAGCTCAGTAAAAGTCTTGTTTAATTTCCTTTCCTTAATATCTCATTTCTAAATCACATTTTGAGAGAAATATATTCGTATGTAACAATGTAGTTCTGAAACAATTTTGGGTCATTAATATACGACAAATGTCGCCCTGGAACGACTTTGGGTCGTTTATAAACGACAAATGCTGTTCCATAACAACTAAAGTCGTAAAATTACGAC